CTCAAAATAAACAGTGCTAAGTTACCAACTGTAGCCTTAAAGTGGCATTTTTGACACGAGCAATTCCACACAGTCTGTCCTGAACATGCAATGGGACACAATTGTCGTCATCGCTTTTGCAGCTGGGCAAGCCAGTTGGCTCTTATGGCAACATTTTGTTTTGTTTTCAAATTAAATTCATCTATTTTTAAAAACTATTTCAAAAGATGAATGAGCCCAAATCTTAATTAAATACTTTATGTAAAAATATGGGAATAATATTTTTTAAAGGAACATTTAATCATTGTATTTTCTTGTTTAGGATTAGCAGTTAAAAGACAAAAGACACTAAGTTCCAATTAACTGCTGCCAACAATTAATTTAAATAGCCTAATTGACAACTTGCTTTAAGCTACATACAATCTTGGCATAAAAACATTGTCAGGGGGCTGTTTCTAATGTATTACTTTAGAACCAATGAAAACTGTTGACCAAAGTGTACTTGCTATACAGCGTATATGATGCAAGATGGGCTTGCAAAGATGACAATGATAATATTAGCCTCTTAGGCAAAAACACAAGCTTTACTTTAGAAGTTAAACTTTATTTCCCAATGGAATAGTCTATGTTTCAAAATATCTATGTAATCTCAGAAAAAGTCAATTTCCCCCTCGATATACAGTTGACCTTCCCAGCTGCTTCTTCCAGAAGGCATTACAATAGGTAGTCTTTGAGAGATTGTTATGGAAATAACTGATATCACAAGGTTAAATTCTTGGACATGGACATATCCTGGGCAACTGAAAAAGTATCTGGGATTCTGGGCTGACACAACAGCGATATTACCATGTACCAAGATGTGGAGACAGACAACAGAGGCAGATTTAGGGGAGTACAACTGGTTTGGTCACACTGGGCAAGAAGTCTCGGGAGTGCTGCAGGGGGCGCCACAGTTATGATGTAGAATGGAAAGCAGATCAGCTCTATGAACCCAGGTGCCCTGCACTACTAATCGCTGTACCACTAACCACCAATCCAAATCTTTATTACAGTCATAGACCAGCCTAAGGTAAAAGCACCTCCATACATAAATACAACATGCTAGATAGGCAATAAGGCAACTGCAGAAGTAGAGGGTGCACAGACTCATTCTCTCAATTACAGTAGACCGGCTTAAGATGAAAACACATAAAACACATAAATCAAATATTTGGTGCCACTCACCACTAGGTGGCCTTTAGTATGTAAGGGACACTAATAATAATAATAATAATAATAATAATAATAATAATAATATATTTATACCCCGTCCATCTGGCTGGGCTTCCCCAGCCACTCTGGGCAGCTTCCAACAAAATATTAAAATACAGTAATGCATCAAACATTAAAAACTTCCCTAAACAGGGCTGCCTTCAGATGTCTTCTAAAAGTCTGGTAGGGGTTACACTGGAAATTCTGGATGCCCGTGGAAAACTCCCTCTGTGTTTATGAACAAACTTGCACCATGGCCTTGCACAAGCATGAGATGGTGTGCTTCATCTACCTAGTAGGAATGGTGAACATGTTTTAACGAGGAGCTTTAGCTTATGAGGTCCTCTAGATCAGCAAGGCTGGCTTTGCAGCTCATGTGCCGTGCTGTCATACCTGTTTGCCAAGGCTGAGCTTTGATCCTAGCTCCTTGGCTTCTTTCCTCACTGGCAAAGACTCAAAAGGTCTCTTTGCTATCAGATGGAGATCAGGGCTCGATTTCTGCTAAGCATGTAATGAAGCAAGTCAAAGTGAGGAATACCTAGTTCTAGACAAACAATATGTTTATATAGAATTGTCATGTATGTTCAAGAGAATGCAATAAAATGGGCTGAGCAATGGTGTGAAACAGTTTTTTAGTAAGAAAGAAAGCAAAAACAAAAATGGAACACTAGATGATTTCTATTTTATTTTTAAAAATGTGTGTGTTTCTATGGGATATTTGACCTCATTAGAAATTTTCCCCGCCAAACTGAATGTAAATATGTCTCTCAAAATAAGTCCATCACTTTGAGCTCGTGTGGCCTATTTGAAGTCTTCCAGCATCTTCAAGAGTAATGCCCAGATGCATCCATTAACATTTTGGGTGCAATCTCTCTCTCTCTCTCTCTCTCTCTCTCTCTCTCTCTCCCCTTCTGTATGTTTGAGACTTAGCTGAGCTTTGTTCCAATAGCCTAGGGGAGATGAGACTTGCCCAATATACAAAACACACACACAGCAAATGCTTGAAAAATTGCAATGATATGGTTGTGTTGGCAGCTTGTGATGTGCTGAAATGAATTTTTCCTAGACAATAACAGGTTGAGCCTGGGTGCTTACATTTGCCAAACACCCTTTTGAATCAACAGGGAGGCTAAACCAGGCAAATACCTTGCTGCTACAGTAATTTTAAAAGATAGAACATAGGTGAGCTAGTGTGTGACTGAATAAGCTTAGATGATATTAGCCACTTCTGTGGCCGACTGTGTGGTGCAATGATGTATTCATAACTCTCCAGGCTGATTCATGAAACTATATTTCTTTGGGGATGTTGGCTACATTCATCATGGATAGGCTTTTGTGTGGGCTTTCCATGTGGCAAACGGGGCTGATAAAAAATCCCAAGTTGCCAGCACATGTAGATATCTTGGCTACTTTCATAGTTCTTATTCTCCAAGGATCCCTTTCTTCTACACTGTCTACCTCCCAACGTTAAATAGAAAGTGGAAGACGTGGTGGCGATACCTGTGCTTCTTTATCCTTCTTAGCTCCCCCAGAAACATGGAATTACAGAATGACGTTCTTGTGAAGCACTGCATGGCTGTGTACACACTATACACTGAAAGCATATTCTTTTCCCCAAAGACGCATGGGAACTGTAGTTTAAACCTCACAGAACTGGTTCCCAGAACCATTAACAAACTACAGCTCCCAGGATGATTTGGCAGCACTTTTGTGCTTTGAATGTATGCCACACTCTTCTTCCATGTCTCTTTTTATATGAAATGGGGTGTGTGAGGGGGGGAGTGTGAATGTAAATGTACCCCGCTGTATACAGAGAATTTTCTTATATACCAGCCTATTGACTAGCCTGTAGTTTTCTCAATCTGCTATTTCTCTACAGTCCCTGTTGCTGTTTTATATAACATACAGGCCAGATATGATAATATATAATATAGGCCAGTAGAGCTACACAGAAAGAGTCTGGCTTGGTTGTCAAGGGTTCCCCTTGAGATCAGTAGGATCCCATCTGGGATATGCTTGAAAGGAACAAACCTCACCTGCAATCCAGTGATATTCCGGAGCACCAGCTGTTCATCGTTCCTAACCACCGGTGAGCCACGGGTGTATGTACAATGTGTCTCTGTGCACAGAGAGTACAGAACACAATGAACTCTTGGGAACAGGGGAAGCCTGAAACTACTGTATAAACTACCGCATAAAGTTTTTCAGATTAAGGTTATGCCATTCCTCATTCTTCAATTTCATGGAACCAAAACCATTACAGGAGGTTGTGCTGTTATTGTGTAAAGTGAATTACAGCCCTTACATCATTCATCCTACTAACAATCCGGTGAACAGAGATCATTATAATTCTGATTTGATGGGGCTGAAACTGGGGAGGGGGGCTGGAGAGAAAGAGAGAAACCATGAAATGTGAACCATTATCTTCCAGATCCACATTGTCCACCAGCAGTTGACAACGGGAAAAAATGAGGCCGAACTGTATTCCACACTGTGGTGGTGTTGCTTGCAATTCCTCAGTGTACAATGAAGTTAAAATTCAGTTGGGAAGAGTATGGCCATGGCATCATTTGGGTGCTTTTTTTTTTGGAGGGGGGGGAAGCAAAACAAAACAAGACCACAACTTTTCATAGAAACCCATTGAAAAAGTCACCAAGTGTGAATCATCACATCTGCATCAAGTTATGAAAAAAGTGGGGCTTGTTAACCTGCTGCTTGAAAACCAGAACACTTTTATCAGTTCATATAATTGCTAACCCCTTATTCACTGTTCCACACTGAAGGGTTCTTTGCCTCCTAAGATCCCACTAATTGCTGACAGATTTGATTTCTCTGTGACAGCGGGAGTTCTGTTGCTGGCCTTTACATCAAGTAATTGCTTTATTTTTCTCCCTCTGCTCTCAAAAACGGAATTCCCTTCTCCCCCTGCTTGAACCTGCGTAATGACTTCTTTCTATGTTATTAAATCCGTGCCATTTAAATCACATTTAGAGATGTTTTGAATAACTGATTCCAATTACTAAGGCTCTTACTAAGAAGCAGCTGAAAACGCAAGTCATTACTTGCCCGTAGCCAAGCGGCTACACCTTGCGGGGAAATCTCTGGTGGACCGTATTGTATTTCTGCCCTGTAAGGTGCAATTTATAGTCGCAGGAGGCTGGTATTCAACAAATATACAGCTGCTGGAGCTCTCTTAACCTGTCATTTGTGCAAAAGAGAGAGAGAGAGAGAGAGAGAGAGATTAGATGGTATATTTATTTTATAAATAGTGCTATTCCTTAAAGAAATCATCTCATCCTTCCCGTGGTGACTCAGTAAGGGTGCTTAGAACAACAGTGGAGATGAGCAGCTGACCGTGGAGTGACCCAAGTGAGTCATTTATTTGATTAGCCATGTCAATGGATTTTGCCTAAGCTTTAAATGGACATTTGCTACCCTTCTCATGAGCTAGCAATCACAAGCAAAAGTTCTGGACAATAAGAGGGTGTGTGGAGAAAACAAACCATACAGGTAGGGCCTGCTCAAACAGGTGAGTCTAGAAAGTTCTTGAGCAGGACGGTGGTGATGATGATAATAATCAAAGGCAGATGTCCACAGGAGAGCATACCCAACAGTGAAATGGAACAATAAAGGACAATAGATGACTTCCAGTTGGTACCTTGCAGCCATGGAAGAGTTTTTTGATCCGGTGGAGGCATCTCCTGATTCTTCCTCCCACTGGTAATGAGAGCTACAGATACTCAGGAGCCTTCTTCTAGCCATCTTCCTTTGGTACAGAGCCCTGTGGCTTCCATGAAACCACCTACAGCTCCATCATGAAGTGTGATGCGAATATCAATAAAGACCTCTATGCCAACACCGTCTTGGCTGGTGGCACCACCATGTTACTCAAGCATCTCTGGAAGGATGCAGAAGGAGATCATAGCTCTGACATTGAGTACAGTGAAATAAAGAGGATTGTCTCACACTTTTTTGGATTGGTGGCTCTATCCTTGTCCCCTGTCCACCATTCAGCAGATATGGATCAGCTAGCAGGAGTAGGGTATCCATCGTCCACTGCAAATGTTTCTAAAACAGGACAAATGCTGAATGCATTCACACCAGGAGTGATGCTAGTGGGTGCAATCTATTTCTCACCCCTCTGTGCCTTCAGTGACAACATGCATGCGTTTTCATGTATGCACCGGTGAATGTCTCATTTCCTTCGAACCTTGAAAAGTAAGCAAGGAACCTTCTTGTAACAAAGCTCACTTTTTCATCTCATTAGTATCCACTTAAGGTTCCCCCCCACACTGTAAATTTTATCCAGTGCTAGTCCTGCTCAGAATAGACCCACTGAAATTAATAAACATGAAGGTCCATTAATTTCAATGAGTCTACTCTGAGTAATCCTGAGTTGGATACAGCTCTCTGTGTATGCATAAAGAAGGCAACATTAAGGTTAATGGTAGTTACAAAACAGTAACTGACATTTCTTAGCTTTTGAGCATTTCATCAGCCAGCTGTAACTGTCTCTGAGTGCCGCAAATTTGTTTCTTTGATGGACAATATTATGAAATCATTTTAAGAAAAAAAAGACCCCTGAGCTTCATTTATGTTTGAAATAAGCCACCACGCTGAAAAAGAAAATCCAAGATCCACTCTTACTGTTGTGTCATTCTTGCTGAAGAAAGGAGTTAATAAGCAAGTCTTACGTGAGCTGTGTTGTCTGGCAACATCATGTACTATTGTGCTGCAAAGTCCGCATGTGAGCTGTGCATTGGTATGCCAGGCTTGGCAATGACTAGGAGAATCAGTGCTGTAAAAGTCTTAATCTTCAAGAGACGGATTACACCGCTCAACACTGAATTACCTCCTGCTGCTATTACCAGGGTCAGGCATCAGGTGGAACAGTAAACTGTATAATGAAGACAGGTGCTCGGTGGAAGGAGGGAAACAACCAGCTCATTCCCACCTCCAGTCTCTCCAGGAAACCATGTGCTTTGTTCTCCTCGAGTCACCAACAGATTCCCCCCATGCCTGCCCACCCAAGACATGTGGATAGCTTGTTCCTTAACTCAATACTGTATATTCCTTTGATAAGCATATGTAATTCCAGAGCTGCCTGACCCTGCTGTTGGGTAAGGTTAACTGGCCCAACCCAGGCAGCTGGTATTGTGGCACCATTAATGGAAAGCAGGTTGTCACGTATTGAGTATCTCGTTACATTTAAATCATCAAAGCTGCAGGGGTGGGGCATTTGGATTTACTTTCACAGGCAACCAGGGCAGATCTCTGAGCAGAGGTGCAATATGCTGGCAGGGTCTCGCTTGTGTTGGTAACCATGCTGCAGCATTCAGCACTATCTGCAGCTTCCAGATCGAGTGCAAGGGAAGCCCCATACAGAGCACATTGCAGTAATCCAAAGATGAAGTCAGCAAGGGTGAGTAAACTTTCTTCCTGTCTGATGATTACGTACCTTCATGGGCAACCTTCCGGGGACTTGCTTCTGTGGGCAGAACCAGAGGCAAAAAGTAGACAAAGCAACAAAGATAAATGTTAGGCTATATTGCAGCAGCCACACATAAGCCAGAGGTTTCAGCAGAACCCATTTTTTCCACCCAGCCAAGCCAGAGGTATTGTCACATTCCAGCAGGCAAAAGCCCTGGAGGTTGGTGTGGAGCAAGACAGGTGAGTAGTGTGACCTGGGAAGACTTCTGACTGGGGGCCATCTAGAGAGACTTCAGGGGCTGTAACTGTTAGGCCTGAGGTTCCCCAAGCCTGAGGTATAAGATTGCACTGCAATGCTTATTTCATTCACAGAGAACTAATCCTTCACAACCCAAAACGATTAACTTCAGCTCTACCTAAACTGAACTCTAGCTGCTCTCAAAATCGTCCTGTTAAGAATGCTCATCTCTTGGCCTCACTTGCAGCAGAAACAACAGCAATTAAAAATGAAAGGAACACAATCATTAGTTATTGAGTCATCAATTTTTATTAAGTCTTATTTCTAAACAGAGAGCTTCAGTCAGGGTTGCTTTGCGTTGCCCAATGGAGCTGAAATACCTTTCTGTGGACATAACCGTGTTGCAGTAATGCATTGCCCTTGGGCCTCGTTAATGTCAACTGACATGATAAAATTTCTCTGGCTTCTTGTTAAAAAAAGAGAAGGTACTATTCATTATTGTTCATGACCTAGGCAGATTTTTCAATCCATTGCTTGTTTTACACTTAAATTCTCTCCTGTGGCTGCACCTCACATCAGTGGGGTGGGGGTGGGACAAGATGAAATGGAAAAAGCTGGAATGAAAAACTTATCGCAGAATGACAAATAACTAACATGAATGCTCTTTTGTTTGTTCACTTTCGATCCATTTTTCCTTTTAGGTACATCCTAATCATCTAAGGAGGATTAAGAGCACAGAATCAGACATCTGTTTACTGGTGCTGAATGCAAAGGTAAGAGTCATAGAACTATAGAATCATAGAGTTGACACCCAGTCCAGCCCCCTGCAATGCAGGAATCTTAACTAAAGCATTCAAAAGCAGTTTACGTGCTTCTATAGCAAACCAAATTAAACATCCGATCACAAAGCATCAATGCAGATTTGAATTCCTCACACCCAAAATGATATTTTTAAGGCCCCTCACTGGAGAAACGTGCAAAAATTAAGTTTCACCCGCTAAAATGAAACGCCCTAGACTGTGTCAGGCGGTCAGGTCAGAGAGACTGCCTGACAGAGATCGTTCCAAATCAATTCTGGCATCTGTCTCTTTGACTGACGCTGGTCCTGCCCGCGTTCTTCTTGATCAGCACTGCAGGAGTTGCCTCCGCAGTCAAGCCTACACATCAGTCTGCATTCAGCCTCTTCGTGGGATACAGCTGGGCGGTAACTGAGGTGGGAGCCGGGGTTGATCTCCTGGAATAGGCCTGATAGTGTTGCAGTGTTATCTTTGCATGGATTCCCCCCTGTTGTGCAGACACTGTTTCCCATACTGTCACGGGCAGGTAGCAAAGTAAGAAGGGAAGGGGTCTTTCAAAGCATATTTCAAGGGAGCTGTTTCGACACCCACATTTTTGACATTAACGATAGAAAGCAACAAGACTTAAACAAGTATAGGAGGGGGACTCCACAACAATTGTATGGGTATATCTTATTATGCTGATCTTCTTTAGCTCTTAATTCTTCAAATCAAAACTTTTCAGGCATTTGGATTTAAAATACAGTGAGACGTTAAATGTTTCACCAGGAACTGAACAGCAGAAGATGAAAACATACTCCCCACTGAGCTCTGGTTTTCATAAAAAAAAAAAAGATTGGTTTAATAACTGCATCTAAAGAAAACCAGAATGGTCATATTAAAATGCTGCCAAATTTATAAACTTTGACAGTCCCACATACTGAGATGAACAGGGGAAATTTATTTCATCTGAAATAAAATACATTTTCTCTGTTGCATTTGCTGAAATAGAAAAGTGCACACATCTGTCCCAAATTTCTTGAAAGGAACAATAACTAACAGTTAATGCTATCACGACAGTACCTCTTCCTCATCTCTACTTTCTTGAAATGCATTTACAATCCCAATATATTTCTATTAAAATCCAAATAAATTGTATTGCATGTATGAGAACAACCCCCTTTTTAGGCTGACTCCTACATTGCTAGGACATAATTGTCCTTGATTCACTGAGCTATAAAATGCATGAGTGGATATTTTCAGGAAGACTGTTTCGTTGCCTAAAATCCACATGGCTGTTGTTTCGATCTCTGTGATCACTGAGGAATCAATATGGGAGCCAGAGACTATGGTGCTGATTGCTATCATTGCACTAGATTATTGTGGTAAAAACAGAAACATATGTGAGTGCATTTTGGGGCTCTACTAACCTCTGGGCTGAGAAAAGTGCTGCCTAGAAGTGCAGTTCAGCTCAAATAGTATGAAGTGGTGTCTTATTTCCTGTCTTTGTGTAAAATAGTTAAACATTTGTTTAACTGCTATTGTTTTCCATGGCAATTTGGAAGCCTGCAAGAAATCAATGTTAGCCTGCCATACTACACATACTTTCTAAGGTGTTAAATCCTACAGAAATCAGTAGGACTTGCATCTGGATAAAATACAATTTGCACTAATCAAGTGGGTATTAGGGAGGTTTTCATTACCCATTGACACCAACACAGATTTCTTTTTTCATTAGATTTGAAGGAGCTGAATCCAAATTTCAGGTGTCTCAACAGGTGTGATTTAGCATGTCCTGGTTCAAATGCTTTCTGAATAGTTTTTTTTCCAAGACATAGAGTCATCTAGTCCAACCCCCTGCACTGCAGGAATCTCAATTAAAGCACCCATGACAGATGGTCATCAAAACTCTGCTTTAAAACTTCTAATGAAGGAATGGCCACTGCCTTCCAAGGGAGTACGTTTCACTGTTGAACAGCTCTTATGTGGTGAGCTGTGATTTGTTGAACTGTTGGCATTACATCAGCACACCCAAATCCACTGGGAAAGTCCATTCATACAGAGTTCATCCTGGGAGTGGGAAGAGATGGTCATAAGAATGCATCCTGGTGAATATTTGGTCATCCAGATTGTCTAGTAACATCCATGACATATTATAAACACCAGGTGCTTGATGAAAGAAAAGGCAGTGTTGGAGCTAAATGATTAGATGATTTCAGATGTCTTTGGAAGGGAGAAATTGATAGGTCTTTTGCAATGTGAAGCCAATGTTCACATTTTCAAGCACTTCGATGAATATTCAGACTTCATTCATCGTTTGACTTATTTTGACTTGTTTCTTAGTGGACTGTGGCATGAACCAGTTCTGGCAGTAAACATTTTTCTCTCTTTAGTATTTGCATTGAAATGT